ACCTAAATTAAAAGTTTTCACTCGCTTTAAAAAAAAAAATCCTTTTGTTGGCAGTCTCCCACTGATGACATGCAACAATCTTTGCATATGAAATCGGCTAGTCCCCTGCTTCGCTGCTAACTTTGTAGAAGTTCCAAAGCATTTCTGGAGCAAGTGATCTATTTGGACCGACAATGCCAAGCTGGGACCTGAGCCCTGGATGAGCTAAAATTACCAAAGCAAGAAGAACGTGGCTTTGGAAGCTATTTCCCCCAAGTGTGGGGTTTTTCTAGTCAAGGGAGTGATAAAGAATGTTGACTTTTTCCAGATGAACAACGTTGAATGAAACCTCAAAATCCCACTGCAGGTTTCTGCTCTGAAAAACAAGTTGCTGCTACAGAGGTTCCTGTCCTTCCCTACTTCCGCTCCCCAAACAGAATAAATGCACCTGTCTTCTCGAAGTTCATGAGTTCAGCACAGGCTGGCTGGTGTGGACCATGTGCTGGGCACTGTGGATGCACAGACAAGGAAGGCAGGGCCCTGTTCTGGAGGAGATCACTGGCTGCTAAGGAAGACAGGCACATTCGTGACTAACCGAAGCAAGACACAAAATGCTAAGATCCATAAGCAAGGGACAAGCAGAGCAAAGGGAGAACTCTGAGGAGGAAGAGTCCCTCTGGGGGCAGAGGGTAGGACAGGGAACACCCTTGAGGCGGGGGGGGGGGGCTCCCAGTGTATTTTGTCCCCTCTAGCTTGCTGGACCACAAATATGTCACATGTTAGCTTTCCCCACTGGAAGGCATGGGCAGAGGCCCCAAGTCAGGCAATGATTAATCCATCTTGCTTGGTTGAAAAGAGTGTCTGCGGGTGTGTTGTCAAGATGGCATGAAATACCACAGGTCTAGGGAAAGTGGGAACGGTGGGAGAAGGTGGGGAAGTAAGGTGGGGCTGAGGCCACTACAAATGTCAGGCAGAGAAGCTGAAGTTTAATTCAGTAGGCAGCAGGGAGCTACAGAAGGTTCTAAGGAGAGAGGTGAATTGACCCAAGACTGTGTTTTAGATTATTCGGACAGCAACTTCAAAAAGAGGCTGGAGACAGGGTGAGAATTCGGGGACCCCTGCACTGGTTGAGACAGACAGCAGCTGCTACAGGCCCGAATGCAGGCAGTACTAATGGTGCTGGAAAGGAAAAGACTTAGCAGAGAATCTGCACAGCCCACCTAGAATCGGCCCCTTCTCTGCCCCCACCTATGCCCCTCCCCCACCAGTGGTCGGTTTCTACCTCCAGACTTAGGACTCTAGTCTAAGACGACATATTCCCCTGAGGATGATGCCCCTTTCTTCTTCATCACTCTGCCCCTGACAAAAACCTATACTTTGCAGGGCCTGAAAAGTAAACTCGTCCGCCCTGGGTCGTGCTGTCATTTCAAAGCCAGTACCCCCGAAGTCCTGGTGTACTGGGGCCTTCGCTTACAACAGCACCGGGCCTGGCATATAGGAAGTTGTAAGGGGGCATCTGACAACAAAAGGCATTTAGCACACCCAAATAATAATAACATAGCACAGATGCTTGGATAGAATGACATGGTATTGTAAGACTCTGAGCCTAGAGAGCCAGTGTTTGCCCCGTAGAAACCACCAGATTCAATACCAAGAGCCCCAGTAGCAGGCCGGACTGCAGTGAGATAACAGTGAGCTCTCCACATGGGTGGCTCTCATTTTCAGATCGTGTTTGGCAAATAAAGGAGAATGAGCAAAGAGAGACCGAAGGTAAACCAAGTCTTGAGCTATGTGGTTCCTCTATGGAGGATGGGAGCTCCTTGGAGATTTCCTCGTAAAGTGACAACTGAAGGCGGAGAGGGCAAGGCGTGTGTGCTCTGTAGCAGGGATGCTGGTAAGACAGGAAAAGGAAGAGCAGAACGGGCTTGAAAACTCAGAAATGAAAACTGTCCACTGGCTTGAAAACTTGCCTTGAGCTCCAAGCTTCATGGTCATTTCTCCCATTTGCTTTCACTCCTTGCATGCATGCCTTGTGGCTGATGGGAAAATCAGCTACTTTACAAAGGAGAGTGCCAAGTGGGGCCTGTGTTCCGAGGCTAGCTCTGCCACAGGCCAGACTCTGAGCCTCAGTGTCCTCATCTATAAAACGGAAATAATATCAACAGCGATCTCTACCAAGAGAGTCTCAGGGAGGACTAGCAGGGACAATGCACAGGCACATAGCAAACCTATCAATAAAGGTGGGTTTGTTTCTTTTTCCCTTGGACTGAAATCGCCATTTGTTGAGAGGAGGGTGATACCATAGGGTCTGACACACATGAAACCATGGCATAAGCCACCAAAGGCTGGAAAAATGCAACGTCCCACAGCAGCTGGCTTTGACATTTCCTGGATTCAAGAAGAGGTACACTTGAAGACAGCTCTGGGTGGGCCTGGGCAAATACTCAGTAAAGTAACACACTTCTCACCCACAGCCAGGAAGTAGCCCGAAAACTGCCCCTTGAACCCATGCTGTTGGTGCCAGAGAGGGAGCAACTACTCGTGGCTAATTCATAAACACAAAGCCATCTCTGCCTCCCCCTGGAGAGCTCACCTCCTCCCATTTGGTGCCACAACACAGTGGTATTTATAGCTGGGAGATGTCAGAAGACTAGCTCTTTAAGAGGAAGTCACTGAGAGCGATTCTCAGTGCCGCCACATTCAAGTCAAGACGGAGTTTCAAGCCACACAGGACAGTTCTCGCCGGGTAAATGAATCCCGAAACCCACCCTGGCCCTTCCAGCCAGAGCTGCAGCTCCAATTTAAAAATTAACCAGCTGATTGGAATTTGAAATGTGGTCTAGCCAACCTCACGTTGGGTTTTGTTGTTTTTTTCTTTTTTTTCCCTGTCTCCTCCCAAAAAAGAAGTGAAGAGGTGGGGGAGAGCGTTTTTCAACTCACTTCGCTCAAACTGGCGCCATGGCTCTTCTCTGGATCTGCTCTGCCAATTTCCAGATGTTGCCTAGATCTTTTTGTGTTGTTGTTTTTAATAACCACAGAGATTTATCAACATTCCAACTCGTAGGATGACTAGTCTATAGATTCAAGATCCATGGTTCTCAGACCAAGAACTCCATGTCTTACTTATGAGGACTTTCATCGATTTTTAAATTCAGAGTCAGCGAGGGCTGCCTCCGCCTCACAGCCTCTCTGCGGTGCTTGAAGAGCCAAGCAGTGTTTATGTTTGCTGAATGAATAAATGGATGAATGAACAATCTCCAAGAGAGGAAAACAGTCATTACACACCAAGTCACATACATACCACTGACTCCTTCTGACATACATGGCTTCCCCTCTCCTGAGGCCCTTCCAGATCTAGGAGTATAATACAATCATCAAGAAGCACACTCTTCTAGCCCAAGCGAAGCTGAGGTTACAACCTAGTTACGACTTCCTCAGGCCTATACTCTTGGGGAATAATCACCTAGTCCCTTCCCTCAGGTAATTAAAAGCAAGCAAACAAACAAAATAAAACCTAATCAGCTACACAGGTTTCCCTTGTCTGCATACTTCTCCTCCTTCTGTTCTTCTGGACCCAGCTGTCACCAGGTATTGTGAATGGGTCTACACCACTGTACCCTAGGGCTTGTCAGAGGGGTGGTGAGGATGCAGTCTGACAAAAAGAACCTGCGGTGCCGGTGGGTTTTTAGTTCTTCTTCCACTCCTCAAGTGCAAACCCATTTTCCAGAGGCCACAGGAGGTGCTGGAAAGGAACTACAGTCATGGGTCAGAGCTCTAACCACTGCTCATTTGCCACGGGATCCTAGGCAGGTCACTTCTCGGTTTCAAGCCAGTTTCTCTATCTGCCACATTGAAATACGATAACATGCTGGCTTCATCTTTCAGGCTAAACGTGAGAAAGCAAAGGAAGCTGGAAAAATTGGGAAACGTCTTAAAACTACACCATCTTCATTCAGCTCCTAACCCTGGTCTTCCCTTCCAAGCAGAGAGCAGGCTGGCTGTCTCTGCCCATTCTGGGGTACCCTCACCCCTCAGCAGCAGCTCAAAGGCTGCTCCCCAAAACGGAAGTGATACTTTCTCCTTCCTCTCACGTCTGTACCCGTCTCCTACTACTAGCTGGGAAAGAGGGTCCACTGGCTTCTCTTTACAAAGGAAAGGGTGCCTCAATGTAGCAGAAAGAACTTGGCGTAGGAGGCTGAAGGGCTGGTTTCTTGTCCTATTACCAGCTGAACCTCAGTGTCCTCATCTGACAAAATGGGGATGAGACCACCTGCCTCGCCTATGTGTCAGGGCCCTGAGAAAGCAGGAACGGGAGGTCTGCTCTTATCCTGACCAGAAACTCTTTCCTTGCCCTCAGCTCTCACTCAGAGAGCCTTCTGGGAGATTCAGAAGGGGTGTGGAGGCTGAGGGATGCTGAGTGCCACTACCTCTTTACCTCTGCCACCTCGCCAGGAAGGGGCAAGAGAGTGGCACCCAGTGATCAAGGCCTCCTCATCCTGTCCAGTGATGACCCGGATGGGACAGGGATGTCAGGGCTTCCTTCTGTAAAGAGGGACTCACCCCTCGAAGAGTCTGACAATATCCACCCCGCCTCCTCAGGTCCAGGAGGCACCAAGGGCCTTAAAGGAAGAGAGACAGAGAAACTTAAGGAGACAGAAGGAGCAGAGAGGGTAAGGACCAACGAGGAGGTGAGAGACACAGAAAAGAGTGCAAAGGAGGGGCGAGAAAAGAAAAGTGACGGGGCCAGGAGAACAGACAGAAACAGAAAGAGGACGACAGACAGATAAAGAGCGATGGAGACAGACTGACAGCGCGGGAGTGTCGGGGAGGCGGGGAAGACAAAGGGGACCATCCGGTGTTTTTAACTGGTCTGGCCTTTTCGAGACACCCCATCCCCACAAGAAAAGCCTAGGGGGCGGGAGGAGGAGGCCGGAGCGAGCAGAGGCTCCCCCCGGCCCCCCCCGCCCTGGGTCCCTGCCCCCGCGCGGGGTCCCGCTGTCCCTCCCGGCCCGCTCGCTCACCTGCCAGCGCCAGGATCTGGGCCTTGTGGAGCAGCAGCGCGCCCCAGTCGCGGGGGGCGCGCGGGGGGCTCTCGGGCCCGGCGCCCAGCTCCTCCGGGCCCCGGTACACGGCGTACACCTTCTGGTTGTCAAAATCCAGCCGCGAGCGGGGGCTGAAGTCGCGCACGCACGACACTGGCAGCGCGTAGCAGACGTTGTCCTCCAGGAACCGCACAAAGGCGTACATGGTGGGCGCCGGGGGCGGGCCCCGGTCGGGCCGGTCAGCCCGCGGGGCGGGCGCGGAGGTGGGGACCCGGCGGGGGGCGCGAGCCGCGCGGCCGGGCCGGGGGGCGGGGGCGGCTCCCCGGGACCCGGGCTCCCCCCACTGTTATTGTTCCTGAAAGCACCGCTCTGCCAATCGGCTGCTCTCGCCTGGGCGCGGAAAAGAAGGGGGGGGAAGGGGGCGGGGGGCGGGTGAGGGGGTTTGGAAGCGCACCGCCACTCGCAAAGTCAGACCCGAGCAATCACAGCCGGAGCGGGATTCGCGTAGGGAGAGGAAAAGGGCAGGGAGATTGAATTGCAATAATAATAATAACAATAGCGTTGCGGTAGAAGGAAAAATGCATTGACTAAAAGTCGCTCTGCGTGCGGGTAGTATTATACTGCTTCAACAATCGCGCTGCAAAACAAACTGAATCGCAACAAAACTGCATTGCAAAGGAGAGAAGAGTGTGAGAGAAAGAACGCAGGGCCTGGGGGGGGGGCGGGGGCGGGGCGGAGGGCAATCTTGTTGGGATCCCTAAGTGTAAACTTGCACTTGCAAGCGAGCAGAATTTTGGAGTGTTTCAAATAATTGTAGCCACTCCTCTTAGCTCCCTTAGTTCGCGTATCTTTTTTTTTTTTTTTTTTGCAAAACTACCAGCTCCTGCTAAGGGGAGGGTCAGTCAGCCAGAAACGTTCCCCCAGAGCTGCCAAACTAGTTCTGACCAGAACTGGGGCTTATCTGGGATTTCCAGTCGGACCAGCTGGCTGGGGGTGGGGGTGTGGGGATGTGGGTGGAGGGTTAGTCGAGGGCAGCTTTCAGCGGAGGGAGCAGGGGGACGCCCCTCTGCCCTGTAGTCTTCCTCCACTGAAGCACCTCTCCATCGCATGCCTTTCTTTGAGCTGGGACCAGTTGGAACGAAGCAGGGAGTGGAGGGGTGCTCTAAGGGAGGCAACCCCAGGACTAGCTGGGCATTTTGGAGCACCTTGAGTTCAGGAATGGGACTCCGTGGAATACCAGTCTTTGCTCTGTCCCCAGTATCATAGGCAGAAGAGAGCCTGGAGGGGCTTGGGTGCCCCCAGACAAGCCACGAACAACTAAAAAGGGGCTGACAGGAACCACATCCCGCATCAGTGGGGGCCAGCACTCTCACACTGATGCCCCCGAGGGGGTGGGCTTTTATATTAAGTATGGCTACTTATATCCCCAATTCTCAGCCCCGGGCCTGGCACTTGGTAGGGACTCAAATTTTGGGTGAAGAATAATAATAAATAGAAATCCGCATTCATCCAGCTGTCCAGTAATTCAGTCTTGTATTCAAGCAACTGAACATAGTTTGGGTAAGCACTATATGCCACACTCTGGCTCGGCGCTAGTTGCAGAGGGATGAACAGGAGGGACAAAACACCTAGATTCCTTGCAGTGTTAGATAATGTTATCAGAAATTGAGTCTCGGTTTTGGATACCTATGCCAAATTAGGTTACTAAATGAGTAACACCTTCCCTGGCCTCGAGACCCTTATGGTCCCATCCAGGAGGATTAAAAATGTGTGAGTGAGTAATTATGTTATAGTGAGAAAAGTGTTCTCATAGAGGAATGCTTGTTGGAGGTGGCAGACTTAATTAAATGTTATATTTAAGAAAAAAAATACATTTAAATGAACTCAAGCTGTAAGAAAAAACAAAATAAATGCACCAAAATGTTGTTTCATAGTAGTGGTGAGTGATTTTGTTTTCCTTTGTGTTTTACAGTCATATGTTTATATTTAACTATTTTCCACAATAAGCAGGTATTACTTTATGATCAGAAAGTCTTACATACTATTTTTTAAAAAGCACTCTACTCGCATTTCAGATCAGCTACACTAATGATGAAGTCAATAAACCAAAACCCGCAAATTATTTCATTGTGATTTGGGGATAATGTTATACAGGCGAACCCCATTAACACACATCTCCCCGATCCAAATGCACAGGTCAGATTAAGTTCCCATAAGCCAGTGATATATATGTGCTTGTAGCCAGATATGACCACGAGTTTCCTGATGCAGATGTTGGTCTGGCGTTGCCCCACACACTTGTGGAAAAAAAGAGGTGCCACACTGAGTTGTTCCAGAAGATTTACCTTCATGATTATGATTTCTTTGGACTGATCTTAAATGATTTTTTATCTTAAGAATACATTCCTATGGTGGTCAAGGGGAAGTAATGTGTAGCAAGACTTCTGATAATTCACAAGATGGATCATGCAGAGTTGGCCATATTTAATGAAATTCCATGAAGCTCCAAACTGTATTTGCAAAATGATTTCAAGTAGTACCATGGCCAACGTCCTCCACCATCTAAATGAAGGTGACCCGCGAGTACACCATCAGTCTCATCTTTCTTTTTTTTTTTTTTTAAAGATTTTATTTATTTATTTGAGAGAGAGAATGAGATAGAGAGCATGAGAGGAGGGAGGGTCAGAAGGAGACCCTGCTCCCACTGAGCAGGGAGCCCGATGCGGGACTCGATCCCGGGACTCCAGGATCATGACCTGAGCCGAAGGCAGTCGCTTAATCAACTGAGCCACCCAGGCGCCCCAGTCTCATCTTTCTTACCACCTTCCTGGACGTAGTACATGCCAGACACATTAAACTATTTGACATTTCCCAAGGTAGCATGCTTTATCAGATCCCAAGCCTTTATGCTTCTGCTGTCTTTCTGGGAAGTTCTTCCTCCCAGAGAGCATGTTGACATCAACTTCCCCTGAAGACCAGCTCCAATGTCACCTCCTTTGTGAAGCCTTTCCCAACCACCTGCACTCCTCAAGCACAGGTGGTCTCTGTCTCCTATTTTGTGCCAGTACCTTTTATCTTCCCTCATTAGAATGAGCTCCTTGAGAAGGGACAAAAATGCTGAGTGACCTCAGCATCGCAGGTTCCTAGCATATTTAAATGCTTATAAAACAATCGTGTTAAAGAAAGACCCAGAGAGCATGAATAGCAGACCTCCTGCACGTCTTTTCTGAAGATCTGCCCCTTTTTCCCCGAGTTGTAGCCGAATCCCGCTCTGTCTCATTCCCAGTGACCAAAGGGCAGGCACTGGTTCCGCTCCTTGTGCGACAGATTTGTGAATGTTATTAAATATCACTGTACCCTCAGTTCAAACAAATTCCCCAACCAAGTCAATGTAAATAATTCTCATAAGGAGGTAGTTCCATGTCCCAAGAACCCAGCATGAAGAAAAGAACCAACTGACATGGGTGCCAGCAGAGTAAACACAGACTCAAATACATTTTGCATGTAGGTGCACAGATTCTAGAGAAGAACCACAGGTACGGGGTGCTCACAGAGACACCGCTGGACAGCCTGAAGGCAACAGAAAGACCCTGTGTTTCTGCTTCCCATGTGACCCGCACAGTCTTTAAACCAGCTCCATGGAGAACCTACTAGGTACTTCTTCTGCCCTAATGAAAATGGAGTCAAACTACCTCTTTGACTTAGAGGCGGTAGCCTGGGGCTTTACACATACCAGAAACGCAAGACGTGCTGATTCGTTGCTTAGCAAGCTGATTCGTTGCAAGCAAAGACAGTTCAAAAGTACAGATTTCAAACTTAAAGAGGTGGTTAAAATGCTTCAGCTAAATCGCGGGTGAATTCCCTCTTCAATATCCCTATCCCTAATGGCCATCCAGATGCCTCTTACACAATTCTAATGTCAGGGAGTTTACCTCCACCCCTTAACTTTTGGACACTACTGACTAAGAGAAAGGTCCTTCTTACTTACACGGAGGCAGAACCTTTCACCTTGTAGCTGTCATACTACATACATGTCAGCTCTTCAAATATGGGAAACTTGGGATCCTGTCTCCTTAGGATCTTATCTGTCTTCTGCTCAGACATCTTCACTTTCTTCACCCATCTCTCCTCATATGACCTGGTTTCAGTGATGATAATTGTGATATCTACTTTTCCTCCGAAGGTTACTATAACCCGTGCATGCCAAGCACCATGTATACGTCTCAATTAATTTCATGCCAAACCCTTGAAGTGGGTATGATTAACCCCATGACAGAGTTGGGAAAACGGAGACTTAGAGCAAAGCAGTTTGGCTCTGGCAGCCCTGGAGACTGGCAGTCCCATTTGCATTAGAGACAGTTTGCTCTGGAACCAGTGTGGGGGAAAGACTGGAAGGGAGGCAATACTGGGGAGTGGGAGGCCTCTGATGAGGCTGGATGTCCCGTGCCTGCCCCTCCCCAACTCCCTCATCCTGGGGCCAAATGTACTTTGCCTTTCGTCCAAGTCATTTTAAAGGAGCAGAAGATGTACACATCTGGGGCAGCTTTGCAACCGCGTCTCCGTTGTGCCTTCCTGTTGTATTTTGCAGAGTCTTGGGTTAATGTCAAGCTCCTTCAGTTTAGCCAGCTGAAGCATGTTCAGTGGCAGCAGCAGGCCTTATGTTTCATATTACTGCATGGAATTCTCAGTGTACTTTGCAAAACTATTTTAAGGAGACCTGGGTTCTGTGAATTTTAAAAGCCATCGGAGCGTGTCTTTTCAACCTCTCCACTAATGATTGACCACATTTTTTTTCATGATTTTGCTTTTTCTATTTTCCTGGGATATTTAATTTGACTTTTAAAGTCTCGGCTTTACAATTCCCACTCCTGCCCCCCAGAAAAGTAACTTGCTGGGCTGTGATCTCAGGGCCACTGTCTTCTCAGGTAGACTCAAAGAAGTGGATAGGTATCCAGGAGGCTCTGGACCTGCTGGGAGGCCCATGGTGGGCACTGTCTTGAATTGGGGAATGTCACCCCAAAGCAGGGGTATCAAGCCAGTGCGTCCACATGAACTCCTGATCGTGAAGTCTGGCTGGATCTGGTTGTGGGTTTGGGGCCAGGGAAGAGAGTGGCAATAGAGAGGGGGAAGGAAGGAAAGAGAGGAGTTGCTGCTGAGGACAAACTCAAAAGCCAATGAACACTGCCTACAGTTAGAAGGAATGCCAATTTGCCATGTAGGTGACCTCTTGGAGGGCCGAAGGAGTATGGGCTTTGGAATCAGCCTGGGGGTTAAATCCTGACTTTGCCCCATCTTTGCTGTGACTTTGGGCAAGACAGTTCACCTCCATGAGGCTCAGATTATTTTTTTTTTT